GAAAAGGAAGCTCATTGTTTACAGTGGGGACTTGCTTATCCGTCGGATTCGTATCTCTCTGCTGATGCGTTTATCACGGTCTAAAAAAATGTAAAGAAAAATCCAAATACAGTGGTGCCTCGACTTACAAACGTCCCAGCATACGACCATTTCGAGTTACGACCAGCTCCGGCTGCAAAATTTTGCTTTGACTTGCGACTGGAGCTTCAAGTTGCAACCAGAAAAATTGCTAACCGTTGGTGGCGAAGAGGCTGCTTTTTTGTAGCTCTTTCGCCCCAGCGGTTAGAGAGTGTGCAATCGGAGGAGGCTTCAGACTGCCTGGTAAGGTGCTGCTTTCTGTTTTTTAAAAAACTGTTCTGGGTGCGTTTTGTAGTGTGGTTTTCGGCTGGGTGGTGGGATTATGTTTCTATATTGTGATGGGTCTTGCAGGGTTTGTATATTTTTTGGGAGGGGGGTTCCTCCATTTCCGATGAGGCTTGCACAGTTTGTTGGCCTTTTGCTTAGCTTCTTTTGCATTTCCGATGGGTCTTGCATGGTTTGTTTGCTTTCTGCTTTGCTTTTTTTGCATTTCCAAAGGGTCTTGCACTGTTTGTTTGCTTTTCTTCCCCCCCCCTTCAGCCGGAACGGATTAATCACGTTTCCGACGGGTGTTGCAGTGGGTTTTTGTTGTTGTTGTTGTTTTGGTGATTTTTGGTTTTTTTGTTGTTGTTGTTTTGGTGATTTTTTTTTTCCTTCGGCTGGAACGGATTAATTGCATTTCAGTGCATTCCTATGGGAAATGGTGCTTCAACTTATGACCATTTCAAGTTACGACTGGAGTTGCAGAACCAACTAAGTTTGTAAGTCGATGCACCACTGTAAATATTTATTTTTAACAATGTAGTTTCCAGAACTGGCCCTTAGAGGAAGCCAGAGACCATCCCATGTTTAGCATTTGCTAAAGCAGTGGTTCTCAACCCTGGGTCACCCAGGTTTTCTTGGACTGCAACTCCCAGAAGTCCCAGCCAGCACAGCTGGTGGTGAAGGCTTCTGGGAGATGCAGTCCGGGGGTTACCCAAGATTGTCATTACCAGAACTGGCCATTAGGTGGACACAGAGAGCATGCCATGTACAGTAGTACCTCGGTTTATAGGTTAACATAATTTTCAGTTTATGAATGGAAATCCGTTGAAAATAATGCTTCGGTTTACGGGTTTTCCCCTCCCAGTTTTTTTAGTTTGTGAAGAAAGATTCCCCAGGATGCATTGTGTCTGGACGTTTATAGTGCCGCCCACATTCCTATGTCAATCCAAGTTTCAGTTTATGAATTTTTCGCTTTACGTAACGTCCTGTAGAACACATTAAATTCGTAAACCGAGGTACTACTGTATGTCATTCACCATTAAAATAGTGTTCCATGTCTTTTGACATCCTCTGGGGGGGGCTTGGAACCCATCACACACACACACAATACAGGTGGTCCTACTGTAATTCACATTTTCTCACTCACACACACACATTTTCTCTTTTCCTTCCTCCCAGCACCATCACACCCGTCGTCGGGAAGAAACGAAAACGCAACGCTTCTTCAGATAACTCGGATGCTGAGGTAATGCCGGCCCAGTCTCCTCGTGAGGAGGAGGAAAGCAGTGTCCAGGTGAGCCTGGAGGGTGTGCATGTTGAGGGAAGGTTTACTGTAGGGTTTGAATTTAAAATAATAATAATAATAATTTATGACGCCCTCCCTCCTCACTGGGCAATTTCTGGGTGTTGTCGTCCAGAACGCGAGCCCTTCACAAGTCGTGCTTGAGAAACATTTGTGAAGAGATGAGGAATTCGGCGTCCTCTGCTTAAAAGCCCCTAGTCGAGAAAGAAGACATGCAGGCAAAGTGAACCATGCCTCCCCCGAGGCATCAGGAGGCTGGGACTGAAAAGACCGGAGCGTGTCCTTTGCATGGAAATGGGGTCAAATTAAATCCGCTGGTAAATGATATGCCGCTTGGTGTTGGGCCAAAATTTTTAGCCCGGCCCTGAAAAGCTGGTGGAGGATGGCTAAGCCAGATGGTGTGTAGACTGAGATGCGAGGACTTAATTGAATGCGGGTGCCGATTTACACTCGCCTAAGGAAAAATGGCACAAGGCTTGGCAGCAAGTCGCAGCTCGCTAACGTGGTGCCGATCGTGCTTCCAGACGGGCGCAGCTAAGCATGCTACCGGCATCCCCATGGATGAGCGGTAGGTTGCTGCTTCCGTGATCACTCTTGCTCAAGCATGAATGATCGATTGGCTTCTGGATTTTTCATCTGAGCTTGAAAATCTTAGGAGAAATTGGGGATTGTCATTGAGAAAAAGGAACTCCTTCCAGCTTTGGCATGTATGTTTGTGTTTGACAAATCCAGATGGGATGCTTGGGTTTTATTGCGGCTGAAATCCTGTAGTGTGGTTTCGAGATGGGCACGAACCGGTTTGTCTCGGTTTATCCCGGTTCGCACAGGTGCTGCAGCTCCCCTCCCTTGTCTCCTCGGCTGATTGGCCGCTCACCAGGCCTGCCTTGCTTGCTTTTTCCGCCTCCTCAGCTAATCTTCCAGTCACAAGCAAGAGCACCGGGTTCTCTGCCCCGCCCTTTCCTCTGATTGGGAGATCAGCCAAGAGGGCGGGGCCGAGAAGCCTGAGCTCTTGCCGGGCCTGGGAGATCAGTTGAGGAGGTGCAGGAAGCTACCACACTGGGCCTGGGGAGTGGCTGATTGGGCTAGAGGAGGCGGGACAAAGGAGCATCATCCGTGCTGCTGCCTTTGCAAAGTGGGACGAACCAGGATGAACCAGTTTGTGCCCACCTCAAGTGCTGTTACTTAAAAGACACAACCTTTTCCCACATAAGTTAGAAAATCTCTGTAAAGTTTTATCTGTTTCATGTTGAGTCACAGGACTCAAGTGCACAATAGATGATGCCTATAGAGATTTCTTCGTTTGCTGCTTGAACTTATTTATGCCTTTTGTATAAACTCTCCAACCGGATTTCAGCCTCCGTGATGGAAACCGTAGCAGTTCAAATGGAATCGAAGCGGTTGTAACTGCGTAGCATACTCTCACGTGAGAATCGTTGTGCTCTCCACCCACCCCCCTGCAGAAGCGACGCTCCAACCGTCAGGTGAAACGGAAGAAATACACGGAAGATCTGGATATCAAGATCACAGACGATGAGGAAGACGAGGAGCTGGACGTGACGGGGCCAGTGAAGACCGAGCAGCCGCCCGCCCCGGAGCCCCCAGCTCCAGAACCCATCCCTGAGGGGGAGACGCTGCCTTCCTTGCAGTTCTTTGTGGTAATAAGACCTTTCTGCATGCTCTCTATAAGGAAGGTCTACTTCCCCAGACCCATTGATTGCAGGCTAATTGGCCACAAGCATCTGCATATCCTTCTGTTGTATCGGGATTGTCATCTAGTTAGTTAATTAGATAGCCAATCTTTCTATAAGCAACCTTCCCCATAAGAGGATCCAAGGCGGCTCACAAGGTTAAAACAAGTGAAATGAAAACACAGTAAGACATAAACAATAATCAAAAATCTCAAGGGCATTAAGTCTAAAAAACTAACAATCTGGAAAGCTAAAACCTGCATTCAGGGATTCACTTTAAAAGTTGTATGTTAAAGTTAAAAGCCTGTCTTAAAAGGTGAATCTTCAGCTGTTGGTGGAAGGATAAATCCACAAGCATCTGCATATCCTTCTGTCATATTGGGATTGTCATCTAGTTAGTTAGCCAATCTTTCTATAAGCAACCTCCCCCATAAGAGGACCCAAGGCGGCTCACAAGATTAAAACAAGTAAAATTAAAAGACAATAAGACATAACCAATAATGAAATATATCAGAGCCTCGTGGCGCAGTGGTTAAAACGCTGTACTGCAGCTAAAACTGTGCTCACGACCTGGGGTTCAAATCCCAGGTAGCCGGCTCAAGGTTGACTCAGCCTTCAAAGTTGTATGTTAAAGTTAAAAGCCTGTCTTAAAAGGTGAATCTTCAGCTGTTGGTGGAAGGATAAAGGGAAAGGGGGGTGACTTAATCTCTTGAGGGAGGGCATATAGATAGGCATGAAATATAAATTAATTAATTAATTAATTAATTTCCACAATCTGAGACCTGCCACAGAGAAGACCCTTTCCTGTGTGTGTATCAAGAAGGCTCTCATGGGGAGATATGGCCCCTCGGATAGGAATGTGATTAAGTCTAAAAACTTAACAAGCTGGAAAGCTAAAACCTACATCCAGGGATTCGCTTTAAAAATTATACGTTAAAGTTAAAAGCCTGCCTTAAAAGGTGAATCTTCAGCTGTGGGCGGAAGGATAAAGGGAAGGGGACTGACTTGATCTCTTGAGGGAGGATATATAGATAGGCGGGGTATAAATGCAATCAATCAATCAATCAATTAAATTCCACAATCTGGGAGCTGCCACAGAGAAGGCCCTTTCCTGTGTGTGCATCTAGCGTACCTGCGGTGGCAGTGGGACCCAGAGGAGGATCTTAAGAAGGCTGTCATGGGGAGATATGGCCCCTCGGATAGGAATGTGAACTCGTAAAAACTCAAACCTTTGCAAAGTAGGACAAAATTCGTGAACTTAAAAGGAAGCAGAAACCAAAAACTGAGAGGCCCAGATTAGGTGCTTTTCAAAAAGCCTGGGTAAACCAGAAGCGTCTTCCAACTGGTACACAAAAGACCAAGACAAAACTATCTGGGAAAACTGAACCCTCAGCCGATCTTGATGTGGAAAAAGGTTTCAGGAGCTGCATAGGCTGCTTCGCTGAGCCGAGAGACCTTTGGAGCAAAAGAAGAAATAAAAGGTTCAAGTAGCTAATGGTGATCTTTTAGGGTATTCTTCTCTCAGATCATGTAGGCCAGCGGTTCTCAATGACTCCACTCTCTTCTTTGGCCCCAGTTGATTATCCAGCAGCCGTTGCATATGCAAAATGAGGTGCCTCTTCGGTTCGACCCAGCAGTCCTGTTCTTAATGGTCATTGACTTCTCCTGTTTCTCTTCCAAAAGGAAAATCCCAGTGAGGAAGATGCTGCCATTGTAGACAAAGTACTTTCCATGAGAGTGGTGAAGAAAGAGGTGAGTGTTTATCATCGGAGGGGGAGCCCATGGAATAGGGTGAGGTTCCTGCCTATTTCTGGCTACTGATGTATTATTATTATTTTTTTGCAGTTTTATTTAGAATCTAGGGATCTCCTCGCCACAGAGCTAACAAAGGCAGTACAGTGGTGCCTCGCATAGCGAGGTTAATCCGTTCCGGATTAACCCTCGCTATGTGAAAACATTGCTGTACGGAACGGGGAAAGCGACTGGAACGCATTAAACTTAGTTTAATGCGTTCCAATAGGCTCCAAAACTCACCGTTCAGTGAAGTTTGTCCATAGCCGGCAGCCATTTTCGCGCCCTCGGTAAGCGAGGGGAGGGCGCGAAAACGCTGCGCGTGGCCATTTCGGGGCTTCCGGCGGCCATTTTGGAGCCGCCGAACAGCTGATCCGCGGCATCGCTTTGCGAAGATCGGTAAGCAAAACGCTTACCGATCATCGCAAAGCAATTTTCGGCCATAGGGGACATCGGTATGCGATCACATTTGTGATCGCTGAAACCTCCTCGCTATGCGGATTTGTTGTTCTACGGTGTGCTCGTTAAGCGAGGCACCACTGTAACTTCATAGACACTTTTTTCTCAACCAGCTTAGAATAGTGAAGAATTCTGTTGGTCAAGTCAGTTCTGATTTATGGTAACACTCCAAGGGTTTTAAAAGTAAATACTGTAATAGACACATTTTTTTTCTCAACTAGCTTAGAATAGTGAAGAATTCTGTTAGTCAAGTCAGTTCTGATTTATGGTAACTCTCCAAGGGTTTTAAAAGTAAATACTGTAATTATTATAATTTTCAGAAGGGGTTTCTCTGTCCTTCCTCCCCATGGTGTTCTGGAACTGTGCAAGCTTGCCCATGACCACACAGTCAGCAGAGCTTGTAACCAGATCAGCCTTCCATGCTATGGATTATCTCGGCTGACCTTCTCCTGAGAAGCACGATTCATGTTCTCAGCCCAGGGTTCTCCAGGCAAGGCAATCCAACTGACTGAGCCATATCAGAGAATGCCTGCTTAAACCGCCGGGTACCCGTATAGCTGAGAGAAGCTACTTCTTTGACAGAAGCTCCAAGAATCTAGGGTTCTTGAAACTTTAGTAATAATCATCATCAAGTGTCGTCAAGTCAATTCTGACTTATGGCCACCCTTTTCAGGGTTTTCAAGGTAGAGAACACACCAAAGTGGTTTAACCTTCCCTTTTGAGGACAGCCTGGGACTGGTGCAGCTTGCCCAAGGCCACACAGGCTGGTTTGTTTATTAAACAGCCAAACTCCTTCAAGAAGGACCAATGAAAACGGCAGAGCTGGGGGAGAAAACTTAACCAGTTTTTCTGCTCTGAATTTTTCTTGAGCTGTACGTTTTATACTTGGGTGGTGGGAAGATTTGCCAGCACTTCAGAATAATTCTTCGGAGTCCCTTTTAATCCCACGTACAGTGGTGCCCCGCATGACAAAGATAATCCGTCCCATTGAAATAGCTGTTTAGCGAAATCGTCATCATGAGAAAACCCTTTCCCCATTAGAATGCATTGAAACCTGGTTTAATGCGTTCCATTGGGGAAAATACCTCATAGTCCAGTGACGATCGCCCATAGGGAAGCCATTTTGCGAGCGCCGAACAGCTGTAAAAATGGCTGCCCTGCGAAGCATGGGTCCGAAAAACACAGGGCAGCCATTTTGCGAAGCCAATGATCAGCGGAAAAAATCGTCATCTTGCGAACAAACGGTTCATGAAGCACGGACCTAATCAACGTCCAGTCAAAATCCCCCATTGGATTGACTTGCGAATCGCTATAGCGATCGCAAAAAGTCATCGTTATGCGGATTCGTCATTTAGCGGGGTCGTCGTCTTGCGAGGTACCACTGTATGTAGGAAGAGGGGTCAAGGACCAGAAGCAGCTGCTGCTTTTAGGAGTGATGCAGTTCCCAGTCTCTTTTCTCCATCGCTCTCGTACCCAGTACATATTTTTTCCTTGCCTGTTCCTGTTCTAATTCTCCTCTTGGTTTCCCCCACATCCACAGCTCCCCAACGGACAGTTCACGGAGGCAGAAGAATTCTTTGTGAAATACAAGAACTAGTGAGTACAGTTGCGACGTTCCGGGATGCTGCTTAGCAGAGACTTGAGAAATGCAGACCTCAGTTTCCGCAAGCACACTCTCTTGGTTCTTCTATTTAGACTCTGCTTTTCAACACGGGTAGATCTCAGAATGCGTTGTTTAAAATCCGGAAAAGTAAACACCAGTGATTGGTGTGGTTAGACTAGAGTTGGGGAGAGTCGGGTTCAAATCCGCGCACACACCCCTGTGATTCATCTCGCCATTTATTTAAACATATTGCCCCACGTTTCCCTTTAGTGGGTGCTGTGTCTTTTAGCCAGCTCTCTCCCTCTATATTTCATCCGCACAACAACCCTCCAAGGTAGGCCAGAACAAAAGACTGGCTCGGGGATCAGAATGCCCTAAAGTCTCAGTCCACAGTTCTAACTACTGTAGTGTTAGTTTCTAGGGCATCCAGATTCAATCATATTTCCCCGAATCTGGTCCACCTGCGTTGGCTCCCTGTAGGCTTCCATGCCAAATTTAAGGTCTTGGTGTGGACATGCAAAGCCCTAAATAGTCTGGGACCTTGATATTTATTGGAACATCTTTTCTAAGCACTGCTGCCTGTGTCACCTGTTCCTCTCGGGCCTTGATGCTCCAGGCGCCTGCACCAAAGGAGCCCTGGAAGTTGTTAAACTATAAACTGGGCCTTCTCGGTGGTGGCTCCATCTTTGTGGGACTCACTCCCATCAGAAGTCCACCAAGCCCCCTCCCTCCAAGCCTTCCACAAAGCTACTTAAGGCTCTTTAAAGAAGCCTTTCGTCATATTCTTCCCCTACGGTAGTTTCTCTGTTGACCCTCATTTGTATTATCAACTTTATTTGTTGCCGCATGACTTTATTCTTGTGGTCTTTTATTATTTTTGTTGTTTGTGTTCAGATTTAACTTCATCGTTTGCTGGTTGGGATATTTTTAAGGCTGTTGTTAACAGGCCAAAGCTGTCAATTTCCACTAAATGAGTTCTTTACTCATAAGACAGAAACCAAACTCTAGGAGGAATGACTAAAAGAACTAGACATGTTTAGCCTTGAGAAAAGAAGACTGAGGGGAGATCTGAGGGGAGACCATTGGCTGTGCTGGCTGGGATCAACAAGAGCTGTGTTTTATGTCATTTTTTGTTTGAAATAGACTCTTTTTAACTTTTCCTCTTCTTCCCCAAGCTCGTATTTGCATTGTGAATGGGCCACGATTGCTCAGCTGGAGAAAGACAAGAGGATCCACCAGAAACTGAAACGCTTTAAGACCAAAATGGCTCAAATGAGACACTTCTTCCATGAGGTATCAGAGGGACTAGAAACTTAAATTGAAAACAAAACAAACCTGCAAGCAAACTGGAAAGGGGGGGCTTTCCACAAGCCACTTCCGGTTTGATCCCACATTCTTTCCAAGGGGGTGTAAAAGTGCACACCTCCCCCTAACCTCCATCGGTCCTGTCCCTTTAGGACGAGGAGCCTTTCAACCCAGACTACGTGGAGGTCGACCGGATCCTGGATGAGTCGCACAGCATCGACAAGGACAACGGAGAGGTGCGTTGATCTTTTCCAGGGGTTCCGTCCACCGTGGGTCATTGCATGCTTTGCAGGAAACTCTGCACCCCCTTGGCCAACGTCCTCGTCATCCTACCTAAGTTTTGGGGTCAACTTCAGAGGTTTTTTTTTTCTTGCATCCTGCCATCATCAGAGGGGCGAGTGATGGGTGCCTCCTTGGTAGCAGCACCAGAATGATGGAAATCTTCCTCTACACACCACATTACTTTCCTTTCCTTCGGCTTTACCTGTTTACTTCTGTTTGATTCTACTGAACAAAAGTCCAGTATTCTCAGGACCTCCTTAAATGACAATTCTTTGCCACCAAATCACCTCCGAATCATGGCGACCTTATGAAGGAGCAACCTCCAAAATGTCTTGTCCTCCACTGCCCTACTCAGGTGTTGTAAACTCAAGCCTGTGGCTTCATTTAGGGAGTCAATCCATCGCATATTGGGTCTTCCTCTTTTCCTGCTCCTTTTCCCAGCCTTGTGTTTTTTCCAGAGTATCCTGCTTTCTCAGGATGTGCCTCAACTTCAACACTGTTGCCTCCAGAGATAGTTCAGGCTTGATTTGACCCAGGACCTGTAGCCAGAATCCTTACGGCGCTGTTTGCAAGGTGTCGTTTGTAATTGACCGAGCTGCTCCTTATGAGCTGGACTTTTGATTTCCAATCTTTGGTTCCCCCTTTATTCCTATTCCCACGATAGCTGGTCAAGCTTCTGCTCCTGAGTGTTGGATTTTTAATTCCAGTGCTGATTCTCCCGTGATCGCTATTCACGTGGCATTTCTCTCGTTTCCAAAAGCGTAGTATTTTGTCAACCAACTCAGACGCAGATGAATGGGGGAAGGATCTAATCAAGGAATAGCAGGAGGCGGCTAAAAAGCAGCCGTGAGACTTGAGTTTTGCGTGTGTCTGTCTCTGCAGCCCGTGATCTATTACCTCGTCAAGTGGTGCTCCCTGCCCTATGAGGACAGCACGTGGGAGCTCAAAGAGGACGTGGATGAAGGGAAGGTCAGAGAATTCAAACGGATCCAGTCAAGGCACCCTGAACTCAAACGGGTGGTAAGTGCCAAAATCTCGAACTCAGATTTCTCTGATGAGCTAATACAGTGGTGCCTCGCATAACGATGTTAATTGGTTCCATTAAAAACATCGTTATGTGAAAACATTGTTAAGCGAAACACCATTTCCCATAGGAATGCATTGAAAACCGGTCAATCCGTTCCAATAAGAGCCTGTTCAATACATTTCAGTGGTGAAAAAAAAATCACCAAAAATTCAAAAAGACTCAGAACGAAGCCAAATTACTTTAACGAAGGTTTTATTAGGTGCACTAACGATTCCAAGCATTTTAAACATTTTTTAAACATTTTAGAATATTTTTAAAATAGCGAAAAGAGGGCTGTAAAAAAAAACATTAAGTGAAACAGGGGACCTAAAACTGTCATCATTAAGTGGAGCAAGGTCCCAAACATCGTTATGCGAAAATCCCCCATAGGAAACATCGTTAGGTGAAGCAGCAAAATTTCAAGCAAAGGCCATCGTTATGCAAATTCATCGTTAAGCGAGGCACCACAGTATATTGTCCTCAGTCCTCAGTCTCCTCCTTCCCCTCCTTGGTGGGTCTGGTGTGGTCCTGCGTTGGGGCCGATATTCTTCCTTCACCACTGGACATAGATTTCTCCCAGCAAAATCTGAACTTGTGTCTTTTATTCACTGCCTTCCTTTTAAAACGCTGTTCATCTTTCGAAAACAGAATAGCCTGTTTTTATTGGTGTCGTGGGGCACGGGTTGGCGAGAAAGTTGTGGGTTAATTTCTTTGTTTACATTAGCATCCAGATTTGGTGGTTTAGGCCTTTGGCTGCAAAGTTCAAGGTTGGGAGTTGGAACCCTCCCCGGTGTCTCCTTGACCCAAGGGCTGGACTCGGAAGATCCATCAGATCACTACCAGCTCTGCAGTTCTAAGATGAGGATGAGTGATGTTCCAGATTTTTTAAAAAATCTTTTTTTGTGGGTCTTGTTCATGCTGCACATATTACGTTCACAAAGACTTGGTGATGTAAGTTAGGCAGAGAAGAGGGTAGCTGAGTTTGCATGAACCATAAACTTCATGGATTTCCGCCCGAGTCTCCCAGCATCTTATCCACCTGCTTAGTCGCTCTTTTATCCATTTTCTTTTCTTATATTCTGGGGTCAAGGCTCTAAGCATCTTTAGATATCTGCAAATAAGTCTCCTTGGGAATCTGATTTAATAATCGGTCCCTCCCTTAATGCTGCCACCCACCCATCCTTTACCTGTGTGGTTTTGATTTCGTTTTCAGTTCTGCCCTTTATAGGGATGGGCACATGCCTGTCTTGGTTGTTGATCCATCTCCTTATGGATTTGCTTTTGGAAAGAATACAATCCATAGATCTTTTAATATAAAGATGGCATTTATGGTAGCAGGAAGCTTTTAAGTCCTGATCTGTCGGTTGCATCTTTCTTCTGACTGTTAGATCTGTCTCCCTTTTAAATATCCTGTTTGCCCGAAAATAAGCCCTAACCTGAAAATAAAATACAATCCATAGATCTTTTAATATAAAGATGGCATTTATGGTAGCAGGAAGCTTTTAAGTCCTGATCTGTCGGTTGCATCTTTCTTCTGACTGTTAGATCTGTCTCCCTTTTAAATATCCTGTTTGCCCGAAAATAAGCCCTAACCTGAAAATAAGCCCTAGTCTGATTTTTAGGATGCTCGTAATATAAGCCCTATCTCAAAATATAAGCCCCAGTTAATTAAAACTCCACCCTCCACCTTTGTGCAGCAACCAGAAGAAAATGACAGGACTGTATTTAAATAAATGTAGCCTGTTGTACATGAAAAAACATAAAACATCCCCTGAAAATAAGCCCTAATGCGTTTCATGGAGCAAAAATTAATATAAGACCCTGTCTTATTTTGGGGGGGAAACAGTATTACTGTATTTTTCCATGTATAAGATGCCCCCATGTATAAGACGCCCCCACTTTTCTAATCCAAAATTAAGAAATGTAAGTGGGGCTTACAAGTGTAGGGGGAAAAGGATCGAAGTGCTGCAGGATCGCTTTGATCCTTGCTCTCCCCTCCATTTGTTTTTGTTC